TGTATCTGTTTCTATAATCAAGGGAGACCGGGTCTTTGACCCTTAACTGGGGATTAGATGTTATAACTAGTTCTGTATAGTAAGTTACCTTAATTAATGCCTTGGTGTATAATTATTTAACTAGGCTTAGGATCCTTATCCTAATTCACCTGTTATGGTTGTTTCCTTCACTGCTTGCCTCAATCCTACTCAAGTGTATAGTATGCTCTCTTGACTATATTACCACGTTCATGTCCCTTAACAGCACTACTGTTTTATTTTAAGTCGTATGTTCTACTCTCGAGGATGTCCCGGGCAGGGTCATGCACAAATACTTCTCACATAATTCATTATATCTTTAGGTTCATTATTAGGACTGCTGCTTTCACTTTTATCCATTTTTTCTTCAATAAGGGTCATAGGTTAGAGGATATTCGTATCAAGGGCATTACTAATAACAAGGTTATTACAGGTTACGGAGTACTCAGCATTTTAGGGCAACATTACTCATCATACTTCTTATACTACACTCATTAGGTAGGTTTTATAGATTATTCGGTCAGATCCACAAGCTGGCCTTACATCTCACTCAAGTACGTTACATCATCCTATCTTTAGGTGCTAGGTAGCTACAATTTACTGCACAACTTCCTACTTATGGCTGAACGTTACATCGCTACATATCCTATTAGGCAGAACAGGATATCTACTTTTACATAACATAGCACAATTGCTACTATATCTTGTTAAGCCTGTAGGTCTGCACCAATCCACCTTCTCTGTCATACCGCATTTCTGACTACTTGTTCTCAGACACGTCAAATTACACATACTCATTAAAAACCTTACCCTGACTCCCTTAGTTAGTTTCATTACTGGCTAGCAGTGCACCAGGAACCAGATAGCTTATACTTTCTCAGGCCTCTATGCCTTACGTTAGAGGTGCCGTGAGGCCAACATCCATCCTCATACTCGGAGGTATTACACCCATTGGCCCAACTCATAGTTAGTCACCTTGCATGGTGGCATAGAGAGTGCCTCACCAGTCACGCCCATTCTATCTTATGCTTTAAAAGTCACAGAGAGGCCAACACCACACCACGAGTTCGATGGCCACGTAATCCCCTCACGCCAACACATAGCTGCTTGGCACCTTGTAGGCCCTCACCCATCACCAACTTGTTTAATGGTTTTGCCACTTGGTAATAGCTAGTATACCAGTATGTCATATGGATACACACAACTACTTCATGCTGTTTAAAATATCTCTGTGACAGGAAGATGGAGGGTCCTGTCCCTGCCCTGCACTCCTACTAGATCTGATATGTCACACAAGGGACATAGCTAGTCCTACTTCTATTAGATCTTGGACTATACCTCGCATCACAGCAGGACTTTTGAATGGCACATAAGGTACCAGCACAGCTATATAAAACAATTATCAAACCACATACAAACATATTTTTCACATATATAGGTACCACTAACCAGACTTTTAGTAGGGAAATTACAGCTTAGTATTAGAACTGTGTCTAGTATTGGAATCCTACCCTGTTGTATAATTATATTGAGCATATTTAACTATGTGGAGCCTGTAGAATTAAATGTGTGTACGTGGCTGGTACTATTGGGTATTGGTAAGTTCCTTATGTCCAATTTTACTGGATTACTACATCACATGATGAACTATATTAGGTACACACAGTAGTTTTGGTATCAGTAACAGGTATAGGTCCATATTTGCAAATACCTGTCAGGTAGATAACACAAACAAAATAGGTGGAGCAAATTGTATACTTTCCTCTCTTATTAGTATATCTAGTGATGCTGTAAAGATAGAGAGGTATATAATAGTGCAGATATCTTTAAAACACTATATATATTTATTATATGCAGTGACATAACTAATTCAGAGAGAGCTAAAATGCAATATTTTTTTTGCCCCACCCCCCCACCCCTCCACATTGCAGGTTGGCCAAAAGGTAGATCCCCATCTTTTATACAACTCCCACAATGCTTTGCCAGCTGGGGCTCTACCATTTTCCAATCCTTGCATTGTATTTATCGCTGTGTTTGTGTGTTTTAATGTAAGCATGTTTTAGTATGGAGTATGTGTGTGTGAATGTAGAGGTGTACTTGTACGGAGTGTTTGAATGGAAGCTTGCATATATGTGGGGTAGGTTATCTGGGTGGTGTAGGTAATGTTGTCCATAGCATGATTTTTTTTCGACTTCAATTTTTGTGTTGAGTTTCACTGCAATTTTGATCATAAGGGGATATTAAACTAGGTACACCTTTTTCAGTCATACATGTCTACAATGTCTTTTTTTTTTTTACTAATCTTATGTATTTGATACTTACTGTAATACCCTTGTCACCTTTTAGTGGTAATGCCTTGCCTGATCATTGCCACTCACATGTCTATCTATATTCAGCCAAGTTTGTTTGTTTGTTTGATTGTATGGTGTTCTACAATGACTCTAATATACTGCAGTTGTAAATTATTTTCATGTATTTTTCTGATCTCAATTTATTTCTTGAATTTCATTGCCCTTTTGATCATTAGTATCACAGAATTACTCTGTAGATTAAGCAACAATGAAAAAAGAAAATATGTATGTGATTCTTTCTTCATTTTCCTGACGCATAGATACTAGACATTCTCCACTTCATCCCATTTTCACTTATTGCACCTTTGTTTTTAACATGAGAGATACTTTTCAGGGACGGTTTGTCTGACAGATACTGCAAGGCTTTCTGGCAGCCTGCCCACCCATGGATTTGCTGAATTGTCTTGTGCCAGCTGTTGTATCTCAAACAAATAAGAAATTGCAAAAAGTTTTCCTGTGTGGTTTATTTTTCAAAAACAAAACATTACTGTTGGACGGCTTTTACATGAAATGACTTATGCAAGTATTAAATGTTATTATCAAATTCTTCTACTAACTTTATAGGTATGCAATAAGCACAGTAGATGTATATACACATTTTAGGAGTTCACTTTTTTATTGTATTATACCGGAAGTTATACAGACATACTTAGTAAAGAAATTTTTAGTAAAGAAATGTTCATAATATAATATGTTTAACTTTGTTATAAAACTATATATATATAAAACCAGAAAAAATGAGGGCACTCACTGGATTTGAAACAATTATTATATTAAACCATGAGCAAAAAATTTTTTTTTTGCTCATGGTTTAATATAATATTTGTTTCAAATCCAGTGAGTGCTCTCATTTTTTCTGGTTTTATATCTGAGAACTGAGAACGCACCCTGGTTAGATTTCTGATTTTGGCTTGAAGTTATATGGGAAGAGTGCTAGAACTCTCTATTTTCTTTTATATATATATATATATATATATATATATATACAACATACAGGGTTTCCTTGCACTCACGCTTGTAAATAGTTGTAAGCCGGGTGCTTGTAATCCAGGAAAAAAATTGAATGTGGTGAAATAGTGATCAGCACTCTCGGTCTTTTGTTGAGTTTAAAACTTACAGTTTATTGAAATTCCATTTAAAAGATCAACGTTTCAGTTCCTATCTGGAACTTTCATCAGGATCAAACATATAAAACAATGCAAAACATTACATTTATATACCTCAAGTATTAGTGAAATTAAATCAATAATGACTTACCCCTGTGCTCAGAGTGATGGGTGTGTTCCCCTGGCGTCCACCATACCTCCGTGCGCATGCGCGGACGTGGCCCCGCCCCTACGTGTGCGTGATGACGTCACGCGTTGCCGCGGCAACGCTAGAGTCACATGGGAAGAAACAGGAAGTGAATGATAGTGAATAGCGTGTATCTCCGGTTGCTATGGCAACCCGGTATTATAACTACAAAGTTATACATTCAATTAGTATTCACAAGTGCTAGTCCAATCTTCCTGGTACTAGAAAATAATGGAAAATAAAATGAAAGGTTTATGAAAATACACAGTGATACTAATGTGTATAAAAAGTGTAAAGAAAGTTATATATATTCATAACTATAGATATTGGTTAAAACCCTAATTCTGGCAAGTAAATACTAGCCTTAAAGTGCCAATATGTGATAAAGTACTGAGGACCAGTACAATTATACTGGAAATAAAGTGCATATGGAAAAGTGCTAAAGTGATAATAAAGTGCTAACAGTGATGTGCTATTACTTCTAATAAGAAAGTGCTATCCAGTGCAAATATAATAAAGGCAATTCTATATCAATAAATAGTTCTTTGGTATAAAAATATATCAAAGTATTAAGGGCTTAGAGGTATTGATTTACACATAAAAAACATCTTAAAAAGTATCATAAAAATTATCATAAAAACAAAATTCCTATTGCTTTTGGGGTCATAACTAAAGAAATGAATGATAAGAGAGCATCTCATTGAGTCCTCTAGGTGCAATCGTGTTCAATTGGAAAATCCATTCTGTCTCTCTATTAAGGAGCATTTTGCCGCGGTCCCCTCCTCGCCTGGGTATTGGGATATGATCTATTGCGATAAACTTCAAAGAGGAGGGGGGCGTGGTTCCGGCTCCGACTAAGATGGCCGCGTAGAGAATAAGCTCCGTCTCGCCGGACCCGAATATAGCGATCACGGCAAGCAAATTAAGCTTAATGGGGCGCACTAAACGCCCAGAGCAGCCCCAGACCCCACGGATAGCCTCTCAGGGCCCGCTGGACGGATATCTGCAGCAGCAGCCAGGGGGGAGCGGAGACTCTGGCAGCCCCAAGATGGCGGCGACATCCGCTCCCGGACAGGGGATGCCGGCCCTAGACCGGATTGAGGGCTCCCTGAGGGACCTGGCAGCCACCATGGTGACAAAAACCGACCTTCAGGCGATAACTACCACCATCCAAGACACATTGCGGACAGAGATCGCGGGGATTCACACAGAGCTCACTGCGCAGGCGGGCCGCATTACCGCGACGGAGGAAGCAACTGAGGCCCTCACAGCCCGAGTGGCAGCCACTGATACCGCTGTAGCACGCCAGGGCGAGATGCTGCTTTCCATGCGTCGACACCTGGAAGATGTAGACAATAGAGGTAGGAGGCGCAATATCCGGGTTCGTGGGATACCAGAATCCGAGGGGCCAGAAAATGCTGAGGCTTTATTAACGGAATTATTCTGCTCTCTACTGCCACCATCCCCACCGCCAACTATAGAATTCGAGAGGGCACATAGGGCCTTGCGGTCTAGAGCAGCTGAAGAAGGGCCGCGTGACCTAATATGCTGCCTACACTCATTCCCGGTGAAGAACGCCATCATGGCCAAAGCCCGGGAAAGACAGAATTGGCCCTTTAGGGGAGCGCAGGTTTCGCTTTATAATGATTTATCCCCCATAACGTTGGAAGCAAGGAGAGCCCTCCGCCCGGTTACAGCGACATTGCGAGACCGCAATATACCATATAAGTGGGGCTTCCCCTTTGCACTAATGGCTAGACACCAAAATAGATGGATCACCATGAGATGGCCGGAGGAGGTACCACGGTTTATGGGAGAACTGGGCCTCCCCTCTCAGTCGGTCCCCAACTGGATCCTGGGGACATTGGGGCCGCAACCCAGACCACAAAGAGGGCCCAGACAGCGTGAGGCGAGAACTCATCCGGCTCACAACAGCGGAAGACGTGGAGACCCGACTTCCCCGGAGGAGTGATCAGCATGCCTGCCTGCGTCCAAGACCACCGTATATCGCCCCAGGCTAACACACCCACACCGGCACCCAGCTTTTCCTGTTCACGCATCGTCCCTGGAGGGCTGGACCCCAACCGCTTATCGCACGCAACCCACTTCTACACCCTGATGTTGAGATGAAAAGAACGCACGGCACATCCACAGGTACTTTGAGTTAATGTTCCGGGACATGGAGCTTTGGGAGGGGAGATCCTGGGTTTAAGGGCGCACACGGGAGCTGACACCCACCTGAAGCAGGCATGCGGGTGGGTCTCTGGGCCACCCCCTGACTCTCTACCATGGTTGTTGCCCGACACGGGGTGGGCACAAGATACTTTGGGGGGGGGGGAGAGGGTCATAAGGGGGCATTGGACAGCAGATACCGATTGCCTGACTGGATATTCAGCACAAACTCAGGCATCCTGGACGCAAAAACGGTGACCCCCCACGAATGAGGACACTAAATTGGGACACTTGCATTTAAGAAAGGGTATCTTTGATCCAGGGAGCCGGGGGAGAGCTGGATGGGAAGTGGGGTAGAGTGGAATATTTCTAACTGTTAATGATGCATGCTAATATAACCTGACGCTGACTGAATCATATTTACTGCTATTCCTAATTGTACAGGCCCATTGTTTCCTAGAGGCATCAGATAGAAATAGTTTGCAGAACACCAACCGGACCCCACTGTATCAACGGGAAGTAGCGGTCCCTTAGGGGGAAAACAAGGAGGACACGCAGACTGGTATATAATCTAGACCTCAGTGCTTACAGTACCGCAGATACACAGATAGTTCAAAGCCCTGACTAGTATAGGCTGCACATACCCGCTTGCATCTGCCTGCTTAATCCAAGCTACGCATCCTATTCAGCCCTCACTTACAGATACCAACACACTTAGGTGCACCTTCCCCCCTCACCCCCCATATAGGTACTGGAGAGAATAGGGACGAAATGACGGAAGTGAGTATCGAATAACTTGCGCATGACCATGGGAGCCGGAGCTCTGGGGATAGTTATAGCTTTTAGACGAGTCAGGGTGCTTTAACCATGACACAACACCAATACTGGATCTGAGAAAGCCATCACTCCACAACCCGGTAGATAGGGGAGGTTGACGTGGGGCGACCGGTGCGAATGGACGCGGGAGGGATGTTCGCTGCTGGGGGAGAAGCGAATGGGGAATGACGGGACGTTCTGGATTAAGGAACTGCTATCTTAATCGTGACACTTGTAAATATGTTAATTTGTTTATTTAATGTTAATGCTTAAATGCCTTGAATATGAATACACAATACATGTTAGCTGCTGCCACTCACTCAGCTATGATTTTGGGGGTCACGGCGGAGAGGAGAACCCCATGTATACTCTTAGACACCTTATCTGGGCGGAGCTCGAGTCGCGTTCCATAACACATACACTCGCGCTAAGAGGTCTGTGGCCAGGCTACGGGGTGTCTCGTCTCTTGGGCTGGTACCAGAGTGGGCGCCTGTTAGCGCTGGTCACTGCGCGAGACCTCCCCCTACTCTGTAGAGGGATTACGGATCTGGGACATTACCGGATTCCGAGGGGATACCTACACTGAAGGGTAAACACCTCCTTTTCGATCTTAAATCTCACACAACACATTCAGCTCCATACTCGGGTACTGGGCCCTGGACCCCGGACTTGTCGCATCGGCCGCAACCCCCTATTCACGGTTCCCTCCCATACACTTAACCCTCGCCTCCCTCCACCTACCTCCCCTGCCCCTCCCCCGCACCTCGGCCCATCCTGTGCCTTGGACGCGTGGTCCCCCCTTGGGACGGCGGAGCATTGGGGGAGACTACGGGTCCGGCACTGGTCTGAAGAGGTTCCCGACGTACACAGAGATAATGACCTACCAAAGCGCACCTTTGAAGATCATCACACAGAATTGCAGAGGACTTAACATCCCTGAACGTAGGACACACCTGCTACGAGAATTGAGGAAAAAACACGTAGCGATAGCAATGCTCCAAGAAACGCATTTCAAGGAAGGATCGCCCCCAAGAATACGGAACAAGCATTATCCTAACAACTACTTCTGCAACCATCCGACGGCTCATAAATCTGGAGTTGCCATACTATTAGCCGCTGAGCTGGAGTTCAAAGAACTAGAACATTTACAAGACTCACAAGGAAGATACCTCTTTCTTAAAGGCACCATAGCAGACAGGATATACACAATAGCAACCATCTATGTGCCCAACAAAAGGCAGGCCCCATTCCTCCGAAATGTGTTACAACAACTGGAGGACTTCACGGATGGGATACTTTTGGTAGGAGGCGACTTCAACACCCCACTCGATCCTACACTGGACTCCTCTACAGGTCATAGCAGCATTTCACAACATAACATTAGATCCATCCGACAGTCGTTGGAGGCCTTGAGGCTAGTGGACTGTTGGAGAACGCTTCACCCCACAGTGAAGGACTTCACCTACTTTTCCGCCCTTCACGATCGATATTCCCGTATAGACTATATCCTTACTGCTCAGGAAGGACTTTCCCACCTGCGCGGAGCTAAGATCGAGACTGGCACCTGGTCAGACCATGGATCAGTCGAGATAGAACTGGACTCACCCCTGTACAGACCAAAGGCGTGGACCTGGAGACTTAACGAAGCTCTACTGCTAGATCCAGATACCAAGGAACAAATTCAAAAAGCACTGGAACAATACTTTAGGGAAAATGACTCTCCAGAGACCTCCGCAATATCCATATGGGAAGCCCACAAGAGTGTGATACGCGGTGAACTTATACGCATCGCCTCTCGGAAACGGAAGGCATTTATGCATGAAATGGTGGATTTGTATCACTCTATATCGACCCTGGAACGCCAACACAAACGATCCCAGCTAAATGCAGTTTACGGAGAATTGATGGAACACAGACGAAAACTCAAAGACCTAATCTTGAAAAGGCATCTTCGAGCCGTACAACGCACAAAGAGCTTTTACTACGTACACGCCAATAAAGGAGGTAAATACCTGGCGAAACTGCTGAAAGGTCCTTTGCCCCATAGACAAATACGCAGGATTCGCCTGGCTTCTGGGGAGATCTCCCCCTTTCCTGAGAAAATCGCTGGGGAATTTCGGGCCTTTTACGAGCATCTCTACAATTTGTATGCGCCTAAAGAGGCCACCGAAGCCGCGAGAGAAACTGAGAAAATACAGGACTACCTATCCAACACAATCACAAACACAATCAATCAAGACTCGGCAACACAACTGGACACACCAATCACAGTGGAAGAATTAGCCGCAGCCCTTAAGTCATCTAAAACTGGCAAGGCTCCTGGTCCGGACGGCTTCTCCACGGGATACTATAAAACCTTCTCGGGAATACTGTTGCCCTGGCTCACCAAGGCACTCAACGTGGTTGGTGAGGGGGGAGAACTGGGTGGGGAGTCCCTATCAGCCATCATTACAGTCCTACTTAAACCAGGGAAAGATCCACTTCATTGCAGCAGCTATCGACCGATTTCGCTACTAAATGTGGACGCTAAATTGTTCACGAAAACACTAGCGACCAGAATAAAACATCTTCTCCCCGATTTGATACACGAGGACCAGACGGGATTCATCCCAGGTCGAGAAGCTAGGGACAGCACCCTACGACTTTTCTCTATCCAACACCACGCGAGGAAACTGGGGACCCAGTTGCTATTGTTATCAACAGATGCAGAAAAAGCATTTGACCGGGTCAATTGGACATATATGCTGGCAACACTGAAACAACTAGGCTGTGGTCAGAGACTCCTCACGTGGATATCTGCCATTTATAGCAAACCGCGCGCATCGGTGCGGATCAATGGGGCTACGACAGCGGACTTCGCGATCAACAATGGGACCCGGCAGGGATGCCCACTGTCACCGTTGCTGTTTGCAATGACCCTGGAGCCACTATTACAGGCAATCCGCCAGAATCCGGACATACAAGGATATAACTGGCAGGGAGTACAGCACAAAGTTGCCGCATACGCAGATGACCTCCTCTTCTTTGTCCATAACCCTAGGATCACTATGCCGTGCCTTCTCTCTGAGTTTAATAGATTTGGCCAGATATCGGGATTTAAACTTAACATCTCGAAATGCGAGGTCCTGAATTTAACAATCCCCACAGATGAATACCGCTCTTTAGAACCGGAATTTGGGTTCCACTGGTGCCACGACAAGATGAAATACCTGGGCATCTGGGTAACCACGAACCCGGGGAATATATATCACTATAACTTTACACCCTTATTAAAGAGGATACTCGCAGACCTGTCCAAGTGGTCTCACCCTAACATAACATGGCACGGGAGGATAGCGGTGATTAAAATGAATATCCTCCCGAGAATCCTATACCTCATGCAAACCATACCCCTCGTACTACCTCCAACCTTTTTCTCCACCCTGAAAACGGCGGTGATCAAATTCGTCTGGCGAGGAGGAAGATCCAGGATTAGACACGACATTATCTGCCGACCTAGAATCTGCGGAGGACTAGCGCTTCCAGATTTTAGGAAATATCATCAGGCCACGATCATGCATCGTGCACTAGATTGGCACGCAACACAGGAAATTAAACAATGGGTGGTACTCGACAGGGGCCTCATTGGACCAACGTTGGAGACGAAAATCTGGGGGGATCTTGAAAGATCGCCCTCCCGCTCGGTGGAGGAGGGATTGATCCTACAGACAATATGTGGATGGAAAACACTGAGGACTCAAGACCACGTGTCCCCTATGCCCAGCCCAATGACACCGATCACGTATAACACAGCTGTTGGGGGGGGACTCCCTCCTGCAGCATTTCCCTTCCAGGATACTGGGGCATACATACCCATACATAAGGCACTCGAAAGCGGGAGGATGCGAGACCTCCCCTTGATGCTAGGCGATAGACCACGGACGCCTATCCTCCAATTTAGATATCTACAACTGAAACACTTTTACGATTCCTTCCCGCACAAAGATCGCTTGCATAGAGACCTCACGTGGTTTGAGGGCCTCTGCGACCGAGGCACCAACATAGAACATGCCATCTCAGCGTTATACCAACATCTTCTAATCGGAGGCACCCCCACGGCTACTACGTTCAAAAGGCAGTGGGAAGAACAACTAGGAATAACATTTACAACACAGCAATGGGATACGGCGTTGCTTTGGCAGCATAAGAGCTCTATGAGCTCATACTACCAGGAGATGAATTATAAGTTGATATCTTTCTGGTATAGAACACCAGTTCTTCTGCACCGCATATTCCCTTCAATCCCTCCGATGTGTTGGAGATGCCAGGAAACACGCGGCACAGTACTGCACATATGGTGGGAATGCAGGGTTATCATCCCATTCTGGCAAATGATTAGAGAAGAAGTGACGATCATCCTGGGAGACTTACCGGAATGGAATGCGGAATTGGCATTGCTACACATCTCGACACAACCCATAAGATCATATAAGAAATCGATACTACGACACCTGCTTAATGCTGCCAAGGCCACTATTCCAGTCCATTGGAAAAGAAGTGAAATCCCGACCAAAAAAGAGTGGATCCGTAGAGTGGAAGAGATCCAAGGAGCAGAAGAAGCACATGCTATTGTAACGGGAAGAGGGACCAAGCACACGGAGATGTGGACGCCATGGTTCCTATACATATCTCGCTATCGAGGAGACGGAGCCGCACAGGGGCCCGCGCCGGGGGCGCAGGCTGGGTCAGACAGTGCCAGAGGGACCACACCCTAAGAGGCCCGACCGCCACTGCTCCTCACCTCTTCCTTACCCCTTATCCTTGAGCACCGGAACCGAGTGGAGGGGGGGTCGGGGCCGAGTAGACTGACTGTGGGATGGATAGCCAATACAACATTTCACAAGGATTCCAGGGAGGCACAACGTACACTAATAGAGGGATACTAATAAATGCACAGAGATTTGAATAGGCCTGGGAGACACGGGTCACAATGTGGCTCAGATACCTGACGAGTAGCCAGGATTATGACACACTTGTGAATAAATAACACTAGATAGCCGCCAACCATATCCTCCTCATACACTAGGGTAACACTCAGGCTAAATAACACCACGATAAGTACCACACTGGGGCCAGACACGAGCATCTGGCTACCACAATTGGGTGAAGGGACTCTCGAACGCTACACGAGCTCAGCCATAGGTAACAATCAAGGGAATACTGGTGCTCCGAGTAGTGAATACCTGTTATAAATGACACAAAGCTCCCACCTGTAATTGTTACACATGAAACTGTACTGTCATACAAGAAATGGATATGCATGTCCCTCACTATGGGGTAAGAGTACCTAGATATACACCTTGGATAGTTATTACGGACCTGCGTGTCCACTCATCTCGTAAAACAAGCTGACTCATAGGCATGCAAGCTTGGTAGGGGGTGGATCTATTTAATAATTTATTTTATTTATGTTTTATTTCTTTTCTCCTTATCTAATGGATCACCAATTTTTCCTACCTCTGTTACACTTACAATGTATGCGTACCTAGACCTGCGAGTCTTTATATTGATCTAACTGCTGACTCTCCAACTTACTAAATAAACATATTTTCAAAAAAAAAAACTTCAAAGAGGAAAGTGGATGTTTCATTTCAAGAAAATGTTGTGCCACAGGTTGTTCTGAATGTCCATCCCTGAAAGCCACCCGTATTGCTGATCTGTGTCCCCGTATTCTTTCACATAGTGGGGTTTCAGTTTTGCCAATGTAGGCTAACCCACATGGACACATTAACTTATAAATCACAAAAGGTGTTTTACATGTAATTGTGTGTTTTATCTTAAACACCTTATTCTTATGTGGATGTTGAAAGGATTTAGCCGGGGTCATGTGGCTACACGTGACGCATCCTAAGCATCGGACACTGCCTCGGTATTGAATATCAGTTCCCTGATTATAACTGTTGATAGGATCTGTATGTACCAACATATCTTTGAGTGTTTTGTTTCTCTTGAAACTGATCAATGGATGTTCTTTAAAAACTTTAGGCAAAGTGTCGTCCGTTGCTAGCATCTTCCAATTTTGTTTGATAATTTTGACTATTTTGGATGAAGCGTCATTGTACGCCATTGGAAATACCAAAGACGGTGGTTTTTTAGTGCGTATGGCGGTATTGGCCATTTGCGCATCTTGTTGTGCTTTTAACAGTTCCTGTCTATAATAACCTCTTTCAAGGAATTTTTGATTCATCTCTTCCAACTGTTGTTGCATCTTGAGTTGATCTGAATTATTACGTATAACTCTTAAGAATTGTGCCTTAGGAAGCGATTTTTTCAACATTTTTGGATGTGCACTTTTATTGTGCAACAATGTGTTCCGATCGGTATCTTTTCTATATAGACAGTAAGATACTCCATGTTCTTTAACAGATATCTCTAAATCCAGAAATTGAATCATATTTGTACTAATATTGGACGTAAACCTGACTGGAGTATTAAGTTCATTCAAATAGTGAACCATTTGCTGAGCTTCCAATTCAGTGCCCTTCCAAAGGATCAACAAATCGTCAATGTAACGAAAATACGCAGTGATCAGATGATTAAATTTGGAAAAGATGTGTTCTTTCTCATAAATATGCATATAGGAATTGGCATACATTGGGGCCATCGCTGCCCCCATAGAGGTGCCCGCTACTTGTAGGAACCAGTCATCTTCAAATCTGAAATAATTTTGTTGGAGAGTTAAGGACAATAATTCCAAGACAAATTCGATTGGAGGTCCCACATACGAAGTAGCCATGCTTAAAATTTGTCTCATGGCTTCTATCCCCTCCTGGTGTGGAATAATTGTATATAGATTACTCACGTCCATGGTGATTAGAATAATGGGTTCCTCGCCAAAGTCTAATGTATCCAATTTCCTTATCAAGGTCGGTGTATCCTTGATACAAGTCTGTATCTCTGCTATGGGTGCTTGGAATAGAGAATCCAGCCATTTCGCAATCGGTTCTAAGATCCCTCCTATTGCTGATACTATCGGTCTCCCTGGAGGCTTAATGGGATTCTTGTGTATCTTAGGTATAGTGTAAAGAATTGGAGTCTTTGGATTCTTTTTCAATAAGTAGTTATAGAGTTGAAGATCTATGTGTCCTGCTTCCAGTCCCAAAAACAGAGTATTCTCTATAGTTGTTGCTATTTTCTTAGTCGGATCACCTTGTAAATGTAAGTATACTGTAGCATCTTGTAATTGCCGTCTGATTTCCCCAGCATAATCCTTGTAATCCATGATTACAATGCCTCCCCCTTTATCAGCAGATCTAATGGCAATCGTGGGGTTCTCTGACAAGTTTTTGATGATTTTCATCTGTGAAATAGAAACATTTCTCCTGAGTACTTTGTGATTGCGAATAACTTCCTGTGAAAGTCGTTCCACTGTAGAGAGATAGGTCTTAATTGAAGCTTTATAATTCTGTGGGTCAAAATTCGATTTTGGTTTAAATTTTCTCATTTGTTGATTTGATATATCAATATTCATTGCGGTCTGAGTTGGTCCTTGTTCACCTGGTTTATGGTAATATTCCTTAAGCCGCATGTTTCTCCCAAACTTAAATAGCTCCACATTCCATTTAAACATATTAGGGGCAGCCGTGGGTACAAAAGAAAGGCCATGTTCCAAAATAGATAATTCTTGTGTATCTAGCACCCTATGTGACAAGTTGAAAATGGGTGTTACTTTCTCATTGGAGGTTTGCCACGTGGAATTGGTTTTACCCTTCTGTCCACGTCTTGTTCTCCTCCTTCTGCGCCTTTCCCTTGGCTCCTCGTGGTAATACCCACTTCTGCGTTCCCTAAAAAAATTGCCTGTTCCCTTAGTACTTCACTATCTGAAGCTGATTCTCCCGAAGTCACATCTACTGTTGGGACTCTAGGACGAGTTATGCGTTTACGTATTCTAGGTGGTCTCCTCGTTTTATCACCCGAAAGCCATTTATATACCCGGTGATCCTGGTAGTCCTGGCGTACCCGCTCAAACTTGAGCTTCTTAAACTTAATTAATTCATTCCGATAGCTGTTAAGTTCTTGTTTTAATTTCAATTGTAACTTGGCCCCCTCCTGGGAATCCAAGAGTACTGCATGTTGAGTTTCTAAAGCTTCAATTTTTTGTGTAGTATCAGATAAATCACTCCTGACGTCTTGGATAATGATCAAAATTAAATCCAAAGACGCCTTGTTGAGGACACATGTCCAGTCCTTGCAGACTTTGGGCTTACCTCTACCTATAGTGGGTACGTTCATAATCCTGAACCCCCTAGGAATCCTCTTAGCCTTGTAATAGTCTGATAAAAACATTCCATGCAGTTCCAGGTCTATCTGTTTCTGATGCAACCGCAATAATTGAAAATAGATGTCTTTGGTAGATAAATTGTGAGGTAGATCCAAACCAGTCTGCTCCCATAGAATAGCTTTGGCTTCATCTGTTGT